GCAGCAGCAGGAAGACGAGGAGGAAGCCAAGTTGTGGTGAATGCCTGTGGTTTTTGCCAGCTGCCTCTTTTTGGAGGGACCCATCTCTTCCCTGCTTGCACCATGTGGTTTGGGTGGAGCTGTGTCCATTCCCTGCATCCATGGATGGGCACGGGGCTGAAGCCTGGCTAAGGAGAGCACCTCATAGCCTTAGCCATAGTGACCGGGTCCAGGGTGGGCACGTAACTCAATCAGAGGCCATTCTAGTACTTTTGCAAGAGTGTGTAGAAGCAAAGCCTTTATTTTTAAAATTTTCTTAAACAGCACTGTGCAGTTTTAGTAACCATTCAAGTATAGTAGCATCTGGTAACATCAGGACAGAATTGGAATTTAAACGTGTTTTCAAGAGCCAAGACAGTACTAGCCATTGACCCAGCACACCAAGTGTACTGAAGTAGAAAAGATACAAGAAAAATAGCCACATTAGAAAGGCCTCAACACTTTAGAACAGGGGTCCTCAAACTTTTTAAACAGGGGGCCAGTTCACTGTCCCTCAGACCGTTGGAGGGCCGGAGGCCATTCTAGTGCTTTTGCAAGAGTGTGTAGAAGCAAAGCCTTTATTTTTAAAATTTTCTTAAACAGCACTGTGCAGTTTTAGTAACCATTCAAGTATAGTAGCATCCGGTAACATCAGGACAGAATTGGGATTTAAACGTGTTTTCAAGAGCCAATACAGTACTAGCCATTGACCCAGCATACCAAGTATACCGAAGTAGAAAAAACACAAGAAAAATAGCCACATTAGAAAGGCCTCAACACTTTAGAACAGGGGTCCTCAAACTTTTTAAACAGGGGGCCAGTTCACTGTCCCTCAGACCGTTGGAGGGCCGGACTATAGTTAAAAAAAAAACTATGAACAAATTCCTATGCACACTGCAAATATCTTATTTTGAAGTAAAAAAACAAAACGGGAACAAATACAATATTTGTATTTGCATGTGGCCCGCGGGCTGTAGTTTGAGGACCCCTGCTTTAGAAAAAGAGTAAAACAGTTTCAGTTTCTCCTCTTTATCCCCTAAAACAACATCATACAGTCAGGATCTACCTATGGTCCTACATCAGCTTCCTTTTGACTGGGGTTAACAGGTAGGAGGCCACCTTTACCTCCACATGGGGACAGCCTGCTTGCGAGGGAAGGCTAACAGAGATGAGAGGGTCAGACAAATAGCGCCCAGAGGACAATTTCTGAGGCCTGGATCCACCTGAGCCTGGAGTTTGCGCATCCTGGCACAACCCCCAACTCCGTGAGCAAATGCATTTCTTTTTTGCTTAAGACAGTTTGAGTGAGGTTTCTGAAACTTGTTCCTGACCAGCCTGAGCTCCCTCTGGAGCACCCACCCACAGGAGACCTACCTCTTCTGTGCACGTTCTCCTTTGAGGGGTGCCGGGTGTGGAAATGAATCTCCACTGGGAAGACGAGGAGCTCTGCTGGGGGCTCTCTGGCTTTAAATCGACTCCTCAGGGGGTCCAGGGCTCCGGGTGGTTCTTGGGAGATAGGAGGTAATTTCAAGGTCTTTGAAGCCTGGAGAGAATTAAAAAACAAAACAAAGACCAACATGGCAGGCATTCAAACCCGGCCGCCTGCAGGGGACAAACGGCATTGATCTCTCTGGATCTCCAGCACCAAGAGCTGCTGGTGGGCCCCCAGGGCTGAGAAGCAGAGCTAACCAACCTGGAACCCAGGAGTCTGACTAGAGTGGGAGCTCAGCTCTGCCCTCGTTAATCCAGCCTCTGACTCCTCTCAGAAGTGTCAACGTGATCAATTCAAAAGCCTTTGAGAGGAAAGATAGTCTTTCCTTCTCTTGCAACTGGGGGAACTGAGCCAGAGTGAAATGACAGCTGAGATTTCTAAGTATGGAGAGGGAGAAACCTCAAGGACGGGAGAAAATCAAGGAGCAGAACATTAGTTACGCAACCATTTAGGTAAGAAAGAGGAAAAGAGGAATACACATTTGTGGTTGCTTACCTTACACAACCTCTCTAAGCCTCAATTTCTTCCTCTGTAAAATGGGAGTAATCATACTATCGACCTCAAAAAATTGCCATGAGGATTAAATGAGCTAGTGATGTGTAGTTACAATAGTGTTTGGAGTTGGGTTCACTTCTATATTTCTTTGAGAGTTGACTTGTCTCTCATTAGGGTTTAATACTCCATCTCGCCACCAGCAGAAAAATCTATGTATCTCTCTTCTTCTGTAATATGAGCTTAGCTAAAAAGAATCACTGTCTGTCAGAATCAGCCACAACTTTAGCCCAGTTTTTGTGGCCAAAAAAAATACCCACCCCAAATGGTGTGTGTGTGTGTGTGTGTGTGTGTGTGTGCGCGCGCGCGCGCGTGCGTACAGAGTCAGAAACTCCAGGAGTCAGAGAGGGAGTCTCCTGTTTCCAATTATTCAGAAGTTGCCGAAAATTTCTCCTTTTAGTTGCAGCTTTTAACAGGAGAACTTGGCTCTGTGAAATGTATATGTGTGCTGGGTTTCAGGGAGTTCAGTTTCACAGGAGGAAAAATAAAAACGTTCCCCACTTTTTTAATGCTCAAAAAGAGAAAAACGATCAGAAACACACGTAGACATCCTACATGTTTAGAGTTGAATAAGGAAGGAAATTCAACCCAATATGTGCAGAGTTAATATTTATAATTTGGAGACAGTAAGAAAATGATTGACCAAATGCACGCACGCACATAGGATCCTTATGTTCCTGGAGCCCTTCACTGCCCCGGTGCCAGCTGCCCACCAACTGCCCCTTTCTGAATACTGACCTTGTGCGTTCTGCATGACAAGGTTTGCATTGAGAAGTCTACGTGGAAACTCAGATGATTTGTGTGAGGCAGGGCCAACAGGCCAAGCCTTAATTTCTTTATTCTAATTAAAAATTTACAGTTTCAATGTCGTGGAAAATATTGCTCTCCTCTGTAAACCATGCGTGTGGGTGAGGGAAGGGACTCCTGTCTGCTGGGCTGGCTCAGTTCTGGGATGACCTGGCGTGAGATTGGGGACGTGCCTCAGGCCTGCTGCTTCCTCCTGGGAAGACGGAAGCCCTGCTCGGGTGGTTGGGAAGGTTAAGGTCAGGGCACAGGAACTCAGAGAATATCCTGCATAGACTGAAAACAGCCTCCCTCATTGGCACCAGAACCACCTGGAGTGCCCGTGGCTCCTCGAGGGCCACTTCAGATGACACGAGTCTCCACAATTAACTGCCCTTCCCAGTCGGACACAAGATACTTTCACCAAAACACATCACGTCCTTTCTTCCTTGCATTAGGCATATGAGGTTGGCAATATTATCCATCATGCAGACAAGGTCACTGAAACTCAGAGCGGGGGTGACCTGCTAAGTTCACACAGCTGCTTTGGGGCAGAGCATTCTGGGTCCCCTGTGGGTTCCCACTCAGCATAGGTGCCTCCAAACTACCTCAAACCCAGATAGAATTGCAAGGCAGGACCAGGCCAGAGACAGCGAAGGACATCGCTAAGGAAGAAGGTGTCCTTGACTCCTGAAGGGACTGATAAATCTGTAAATTTACTCTACATTTTCAAAGGTGACAGACCCTTCATTATGCAAAACCATAGCTGGATTGGAGAGCTCTAGCATTTTCTGTTTGAAGTGGATCCATTGCTTACAAACTCAAATTCTATCCTTTTTAAAAAATATATTTTTATTGATTTCAGAGAGGGAGGGAGAGGGAGAGAGAAATTGAAAATCATTGATGAGAGAGAATCATTGATCGGTTGCCTCCTGCATGCCCCACACTGGGGATCAAGCCTGCAGTCCGGGCATGTGCCCTGATCAGGAGTCAAACCATGACCTCTTGGTTCATAGGTCGATGCTCAACCACTGAGCCATGCTGGCTGGGCTCAAATTCTGTCCTTACTCATTTACAGATAACCCCAGCTCCTTAGTAGAACAAAGGATTCTGTTGCCACTAGAGAGTGCAGTAACATCAAATGCTTTAAGGTAGAATTAGGGGCAGCTAAAATTCCTTGGACTTCACTATTTTCAACATTTATCACTACAGCTTTTTTCCAGCTCCACATGGTGAGGTCAGAGTGGGTAGGGCCAGTTCTCTTTTTGAGACATCCCTTTGAGTCACCTTGTTCCTAAATGGAGATGAATCTTTCAAGTGCATGCTTGCACGGGTACACACACACACACACAGACACACAACCTTTTTCTTCTTCAGCTCCCCAGGTGTGTGTTTTTCTGAGTCAGTGGCAGAGGCCACAGGAGGGAAAACAC